GTATACCAATATATTTCAATTGTACTTATATATCTAATGCATTTATTTCTAACATAAATATGATGCCCGATTTCTGTTGATGTTTCGCAATAAAGTTCATTTGATTAGTTTGCTGCTTTTCCCTGAAACTATAAACATTTTAATTACGCCCCCTTTTTTGATAATGAAATATATAATCAAATATATGGAATACAGTAATACAATACATATTTGTATTCTGCTCTTTTGTTCATTTTGAAGAGCTGCCATCAAAAAGTTTAAAAAAAGAACAAATTAAATTGTCGGACTTGATGGCAACGTATTGTGTCGTCATTGCTGACAGAAAGAGGCATGCGAATTAAAATATAATACAAATTATGAATATCTACCACGAAATCCAAAAGATCAGCATTATTGAAAACAAAAGTGAAACAAGAGCTGAGCAACGGGTGCGGAACGGGCGCGGTGGAATACCCTTTGCACGAAACAGAAACGAAAAAGCCATTAAAGGCATTTAAATTTTCATATAATTGATCGATTGATCATCTCTTAAGCATGTCAAATTGCTCAAGCTTCTTACCTTGATAACCATTTATTTTTAGCACAAAACATGCCTACAAATCAAGTTGAACAATTTTGAAAGAGATGTATAGAAAAGCCCTTCATTTATTACCCAATTAAGGTGTTAGGAATAGTAGGTAGAAATTTATTGTTTGGTTCTAGATCCCTCATTAGACCACCTCTTCAATGATTTGTCATGCTTAACCGTTGTTGAATGGAAAAAAATAGCTTTATATGTAAATAAATTTTACGTTAGCAACAAATTGGTGAAACGTGTCTGTAGACCACAAATCATGATAATATAAGCATATTTATGTATGCGAGCAGCTAGACCCAATTGCAATTTTTGCCAGCAATGTAATAATTATTATTTGTATAAATAATATTTTAATGAAGTATTTTGTAACAGCAACTTAGTTTGCACAAATTTTGGAGCAATACTTTTACTTGTCTTTGGCTCTTATAGTGTTTGATATGAAGACGCTCATATAGACTGACAAACAAATGTACTAGAGTTATCAAATAATTTATATTATTAAGTCTCATTTAGAGGACAACCAATCTAAAATTATTTTAAAGAATACTTTCGCCAAGTTGGGTGTGTTTGGCTCTTATAGTGTTTGATATGAAGACGTTCATACAGACAGACAAACGAATGGATTTACGAATGTTGCTAATTCTTTTGTATTGTTAACGTTTCTTCTTTTTCAAATTATTGCAATCATTTTAATTAATTAATTGGCATTATGTGTGTTATTGTGTCGATAAGCATTGCTGTGTTTTGGTAGCCCATGCCTCTTTGTTTGTCAACTTATTTAAAAACCTGTTTAGCATTCTTGGCCATTGGTTTATTTATAAAATGCTTCATTTGCGTATTCAGACTCAAAATAATTTCGCTTAAATCGCAACTGGCAGTGACACTTGTTTGTGCAAACATACAAACAAGCCGCCAACAAACACAGAAAGAGGCGCAAACTACAACAACAACAACAACAGCAGCAACCATATTGTCTCGTTCATTCGGTCGATCGGTCGGTTGGATGGCCGTTTGGTCGGCCGCTTGGTCGGTTGAATGAATTAGCCCGTCGACTTGTTTGGCTGCTTGACGTCGTCTTTTATTTTTTGTCGCCTTCGTTTTTGTCGTCGCACTTATTAATGAAAACGTTTCAAATGGCACATTTCATTTTGTGCACAATTGAATGAATCCAACGGCCACAGCAACAACAACAACAGCAGCAGCAACAACAACAGCAGCAGCAACAACAGTGTTGAAAATACACAGATACTTGAATTAAAAAATAAAAAAAAAGTTGGCAGCACTTCACGTTCCAAGGTCAAAGTTTGCGGTGCGGCACACAAAGATGAACAACAAATACAAAAGGCAGGGAAAAAATGAAATTCTAGCGCAATTAAAAATAAGAAATCTTTTTAAATTACGCGTCTTTCTGTTACTTTTTTTTGGTTGTTGTCGTCGTGGTTTTTTTCCCTGCTAATGTATTCAATTAATTTAAGAATGAAAACAAAATCTATAGCGATTTTTCTTTTAAATTCTGTTTCACTTGTTTCTCCTCACATGTTTAGGTAGTGCCACTAGAGTTATTGTTAGTGCAAAATGAACATCGATTTAAGGCATCAAATTGTGTCCATGGGTCCTTTAAAGTGAAGTTCTATAATAAAAATGAAAACATTTGTGGATGTTTAGAGTAAACCAAAAATTGGTCGATTGATCAATCGCTAGTTTGTAAATCAATGTTTATTCACATCACATCACTAAACCGAACTAAACTATACCTGGAACTACACTAACGAAACATTTCTCGATGGAATTTAATGGTGTTGTTTTTGTAGGGATATTCAAGAGTCCTCGATTGATTTACATGGAAGATTGTTATTTGTTAGAATCGAAAACAATCTGTTGCTTCGATGTGTCGATGTCTGTTCACATCAATAATTGCGGCACTGGTCTTATAATTTTTGAGCGCGTGCTGATTTTATTCTAATTTTGTTCCTAATTTATTACTGTTTTCCTAACATACATATATGTTAGTAGTATGTATGTATATGTGTGTAGTTGTTGTTGTTTTTTCATTCGTTCCATCAATGAGTTTTGCTTTCCACAGGAAAATATAAATAAATACAAAGAAAAGAAACTATTTAGAAATCAAATGAAATAGCAGCAGGCAAGTTTCCGGCATATGCTTGGAAATTTTTAATTTATTATAACAAATACTTTTTGAAAATAGCGCTATTTTTAATAGATGTGCCAACACGCGTAAGAAAATTCACCCCGAAATGGGGTCAGTTGCTTAATTTCATATTTTAAGTTATCATTGTTATATATTTGCAAAATCTATATAAAACAAATGAAGAGTGTACAACTTATGATTGTTTATTCAACATTATTAAATGTAATGTACGTTTTTTGTTTACCATTCAGCAACATTCGTTAATTTGTTTATCTGTTTGAACGTCTGGATATCGAATACCATAAGAGCCAACGATGCCAAAGTTGGTAGAAGTATTCCCCTTAAGTTTGTAATAAAATTGGTTTATAAAGCAGCATATCAGAATAGCGTTCATTTATTTTTCTTTCCACTGCCATCTTCTTAAACCAAGACACTAATGTGCTTAGACAAATTCGTTTTCTTGGAATGAAACAATTCAAATATATAGAAAAAAATCATTAGGCAAATGACGTTTACAAGCAGCGCCATTGTAAGAATAAGAACAAAACACAAGAAGAACGAACTATTGGCAAACTACGAGCGATACGTTTTGTTGTTGTTGTAGCTTTTCTTATTGGCAATCAGCGCTCGCAGCCGGCGATCGTCGCCCGCTGCTCCGAATGTTTTTGCCAAGTGTTTATTTCTATTTTGTTTTTCTCAATTGTGGTCATCCTCGAAAATTGTTTTTGAGTACCGGACATGACGTCAATAAGTGGGCGTTTGTGTTAATTTTTATTTCATACACACACACACACACACACACATACTCGCACATATAAACACTTTGGCCTATCTATAGCCGTATATTTGCTATATATTTTTGTGTATTTATTTTGCTACAATTTTTCATTTCGGCCCGCGATTTCAGCTCAACAATTTTCATATATAGCAACCATATAATAATAATAATCAGTTTTGACGCTCTTGCACTTTTTTATATCGTCATTATCATATATGTACCCGTATAGTACATGATGCGCATGTGTTCGCGTAAACACAGACGGATTTTATAAGGGCAGAAACTGTATATTAACTTTTATGTCCAAAACTGAATTACAAAGGAAACGAAGCATCATTGGCAATGTGTTATAGCTTTTATAGCAAATGTATTGAGAAACCGCGTTAATTGAATCGATTTAGCAATATTCAACTGTCTGTCTGTATGAACGTCTTAATTTCTTATACTATTAGAGGTATGAGAACGGAATTTGTTGCAAGCATCGCTCTCATATCGAATATAAGTTTTTATATTAAGTTTATTTAAGGTTGTTTTTAAAATTGTATTCAATAATCATGTAATTAAAAATTGTTGCTTTACAAATGTTGAATTAAAAACAAACTACCTTAAGTTGGTGGGTTTATTGTTGCTGGCTTTGCCTTATACTTTTTAAATATATTGTTAATGTAATATATTTTAACATTCTCGTTGAAATTGGATAGCTAGTAATGCTCGAGTGCGTTGTAAGTAATCTTCTCAATCATTTTTCATGCGACGTGCTCATTAATTTCCTGTATTTCCTTATTGGCGGCGAATGTCCGCCTATTTGTCGTCGTGCCTGCATTTATATAATGTGTGTAAACAAATATTTATCTATGTATGTATGTATGTCCGTACATATAGTAAATGCGTCGTCTGCGCGCTCGCCTTGTCTGGCAAACGTGCGCCGCATTACTCATACGACACGTTGTCCAGTGGGATAGAGCGAGATTATGGTCAGTACGGGCGGGGGCGCTATAAATCTTAAACATGCCATAAAGAATACAGTTGTTTTGCTATAAAAATGTTTTATATGCCTGCCGCCGCTGCCAACGCTGATCAACGCTCGCAATCATTAAGCCAATGGCACACAAAAATATGCGCCAAGTCAAAGTTCAATTAGCAGTTTCTATTTTATTAAAATTATTTCTTCTTCTTCTGCTGCCGCTGCTTTTGCTTTTTTCTGCTTATTATTGTTATTGCTATTTTGATATGTATGTATGTAAATTGTTTGTGAATTTTAGGCGCCATTTGCAGCCAAGCTGCTGCAAACTGGTTGGCAAAATTTCTATATGTGTGTGTGTGTTTGAATATTTTATGCGCTAATTATTTGCTTAATAAAATATTTATTAAATTTGTTGTTGCGTTGCGAACTGTTTTCATTTGTTTTTATTGCCACGTAATAACGAGTTTATCAGCTTAGAGCGGAAATAAAAATTTGTACACAATAAAATGGAAATTCTGTGTGATCATAAAGATATGCTGGAGACGAATTTCAATTTATTTATGTAGATTATTGTTCAGTGTATAATATATTTTATAATACTATATGTGTCATATCAGAACTGAACTGGGAAGAAACAAAGTGTTGGGTATAGCTAGAAATATAAGTTGAAGTAGTCTTTATTTATGACGAATTTAATGTAAATTTAAGAGAAATCTGAGGACTTCTCACGAGTAGTCCCGACTGCTGACAGCTCCTCCTTTAGCGGCTGCTCAGGACTGCTCTCAACTGACTGCTTAGAACGGCCGTTCTCGACTGACTCCTTAGAACGACCGTTGACAACTGACCCCTTAGAACGACCGTACATGACTAACTGCCTGTTGATGACTGATTCTTTAGAAGGACCGTAGTCTTCTTGACTACGACTGCACACGAACAGAGACTTCTCACGAGTAGTCCCGACTGCTGACAGCTCCTCCTTTAGCGGCAGCTCAGGACTTCTCACAACTGACTACTGCTTAGAACGGCCGTTCTTGACTGACTCCTTAGAACGACCGTTGACAACTGACTCCTTAGAACGACCGTACATGACTAACTGCCTGTTGATGACTGATTCTTTAGAACGACCGTAGACAACTTAGAGCGACCATTCTGAAAATAAATCGATGGTTTTGTGGAATTACAGTACCTTTTATTTGTGTTCATTTGTTGCTTTATGGCTCACAGACCTTTTATTTGATTTGATTTACTAATTGAAGTGCAATTTTTCTTCATGTTTCTGGGAGTATTTCAAGAAAGCGATCCTCATAGGCGTATACTTAATATTATTATATGATAACGTTTGCTCAAAGTTACAACTACTACGATAACATATTTATTTAGAATATATTTGACTAAAAGATTGAATTATAAATAGAGATTGTAGAGATTGTTTGTCCTTTTCTTTATGTGCAGTTCTACTTATTTTAATTTCAAAACTATCTAAAGTTATGGCCACACAGGCAAATTTGCCGTATAAACATAGATTAAGCACTGGAAACAAAATCGCAATTGAAAATTCCACTTGAGTATAGAATTCATATGAGTTATAATTCCGTAGCTCAGCAACATATAGCCATTAATAAATGATTTCCACTTTAATCGAAAATGCTTAGTCACTTCAGAAGAACACCTAGAACTTGTAAGCAATAAAGCTAAATGGATTTCTCTAACATTACATTTAGCTCAACACACTAGACAAGGTGTGTCAATTGCCTCTCTAGTTAGCCGAACATCAAGCATCTCATGTTCCGCCCAATTCCAGTGAAATAAAGGCAGCTAAAGACATTATAATACAAAACAAGGAAAGAAAAGAGAAAAAACTTTGCATTTTGTTTACAGAAAAGTCACGCCGAAAATGCCAAAGTCATATTCAAAAGTTTTTGACCTTCATGAGCTTCATGAGCTAAAAAAGTGTTTGTTTTTTTGGCTTAACTAAGCAGTCTTGTGGTTGTTGTTTGTTCTGCTTTTTGTAGCAACGACCGACAACGAAATTAATTACAAACATTAAAATGTGGATGAAGAAAAGTTTTTAAATTTAAATTATAAGCACACACACACACAGCAACAAATTTAAGCAAGTTCATCTAGAATAGTGCCGGGTCGGGCGGGTTCTGCTGGCGTATGGGGGCTGACTGCGGGCAACTTAATCCAAACAAAGCGCGCCGTGCCGTACATGCCGGTAGTTAGTAGTACTTTGGACTTGCTGGCACAGCACAACACCGCACCACACGGTTCATAATATTTTTCATAAACATTTGACCAGCACTGGCATCAAGTACGTGCCATATGCCCGTGGTCACCTATTTTTTTTGTTGTGCGGAAGCTCAGACGACGACATCTCCCCTCCAAAATAGTCAGACTCGCAGCTGCTCTGAAAAACTGTGCGCAACAGAATAAAGCAGCGATCAGGCGGACAGACGGGCATCTGCACAATATTTTGAACTACTTTACAAGTGTGTCATGAATTTCAACAACAACTTATAGGAATTACAAAGCCACTCATACGAGTATCTACCACAAGAAATATAATTGGTGTGCAGATTGTTTGCCTTGACAAGAGATCAAACCAAAAGCTGCAAGTTTTCGAAGAAAAGAAAAATTGAGCTCAAATAGAATTTAAAAGGGTTCATAGTTCATATAAATGGGATTATTTTGAAATAATATTTCTAGAACCTTCGCTTTAATTGAAATTTAATTTGTATGTTAAATTAAACTATAATTATTTTATTGAATTGGAAGAACCTCATTCTTTGAGCTCCTCTTCGAGCTAGTGGTTCTTTAAAGCTTAATAATTAAGCAATTAAGTTAAGTTTATCCTTTAGAAATTTGTATGCTAAAAACATGGCAATTAACTTATGAACCAATCTTTATTTCCTTTGCAGAAAGCAATCGAAAACGACGACGACGACGACGACGACGTATTAACGATTAAGAAGCGAAGAATCGAGAGCGACAAGAATTCGTTCCACCTTGTGTCTTGAGTGCGCATTGTGTGAGAGGATGAAGGCAACTGCTAGTCCACGGCAAAGCTATTATTACCGAGGGCATTGAGGTTAAGAATCTAACCAATATTGGTCACCACACTACATGGATCGCAGAAATGGCGGCGATCCCTTGGCGCCACCCCGGCCCCCTAAATTATTACCACGTGCGCATCGTCCCAGGGCGCCGGAGCCACTGGCGATGAGTGACAATACAACGCCATGTACAAACAATTTGAGTAGCAACAGCAGCAGCAGCAGCAGCAACAACAATAATAACAACCATTTAACAACAAGCCAACAGCAACAATTGTTGCATAGTATTAGCGCAACAACGACGCCTACGAACAACAACCACATCAGCAACAATAACAACAGCAACAATTCGATTTCGATAATACCATCGCACCATTTGGCCGACAGAGACGACTATCAGATACATCATCTGACATTTCTGCCCCAGCGTGCGCCCAGCAGCAGTCTTAGCCGGAACAGCAGCAACGCCTCGACGGCGAACAGCAACAGCAGTCAGAGCAACAACAGCAGCAGCAGCAGTAGCGGCACCCTGCCCATCAGTTTTACGCGTCGCCGACCGCTACCCGCGACGCCAGGCAGCGCTGTACCATTGCTGACCATCTCTGGTAGCAGTAATAGCAGCAGCAACAGCGTCATCAACAACAACAACAACAACAGCAGCAACTTCCTTAGTCATTTCCAAAGCGTTGATCCAGTGCCGCCGCCGCCCGCCTCTCCAGTCACGCTGGCGCACCCGCGACCTGAATCCGAAAGGCTCGCCAATGAGTATGTGGATACGCCGTTGCGCAGTGTTGCGCAGCAAACGCAACAACAATTGCAGCTGCAACATGCGACACGCGCACAACATCCGGCCGGACAGCATCCGGATAATGGGCAGACAACGACGCATCATTTACTGCTGCTGCCGCAGCGGGAATTGCTGCGACAACATCACCAAATACATTCGACCGCGCAGCAGCAACATCATCAGCAACAGCAGCAACAGCAGCAGCAGCAGCAACAACATCATCATCCCCACCCACGACTGGCGTCAGCTGCGGGTTCAGCTAACGTACAGGCGACAACAACAACAACAACAGGAGCAGCAGCAGCAGCAGCAGCAACAACAACAGGCATTGATGGCATCGACGGCTTATTACATTCGCATCATACGCATCCCACACAATTAAATGGCAACATTAAAACACCTGCGTCTACAACAACAACAACAACAATAACGGCAACTCCTGATTTGAGGCACACAGAAATAAAATTCACGCCACCACCTCCACCACGTATGGATAACGGATTTGCGGCAGCCGCCAACGCACAACCCATCACACAACCCATAACAAAGCAGCCGGCCAGCCAGAAACTGACGGGCAAGGAGAACTTGCACGCCTTGGAGGAGCTGCTCGAACTGCACGGCGTACAGCAAGTGAATCCGGCTACGGGCCAGTTGGGGACATCGATTGCCATCAGTGTTGATCCCACGCCGCTCACTCCCATTGTCTGTCCGAGGTGCGGTCGCTGTCGCTGCGAACAGTGCCAGAGTCCGCGACCATTGCCACAGACCTGGGTGTGCAACAAGACGTGTCTGTGCAGTGCCGAGTCCATCATCGATTATGCCTCCTGTCTGTGCTGTGCGAAGGCCTTGTTCTACCATTGCGCCAGGGACAATGACATGGATTGCGATGACGGCAATGGCACACCCTGCGTCGATAATCCCTGTTCCTGTGGCCCCTACAAGCGCACCCAGCGCTGGGGCTGGCTGGGCGCACTGTCCATTGTGCTGCCCTGCCTCTGGTGTTATTGGCCCATGCGTGGTTGCATGAAGCTCTGCGAGAAGTGCTATGCGCGATTCGCCGGACGTGGCTGTCGCTGCCAAGGCATTGTGGGCTCCACCTCCAGCATGCTGCCCATTGTCCCTTTGGGCACCAATGGCGGCGTTGGGGGTGGCCTGGGCCCCGGCAATGGCCTCAGTGTCCAAAATGGCGGCTCTGGTGGTCAGAGCAATGGCAAGGCTTTGGATCACGGACGCAGCGAGTGCAGTGCGGCGAGTCGTATATTGAGAAAGGGGGATCTGACGCCCGAGAAGCGACTGCTAGACTCGAGTCCGGACTACTAAAGAGAGAGAAAGAGGGAGAGAGCGCTGCAAGCTGGCGGAAGTGTGCGAGCGGTTTTAGTCGCGGCCTGTGCGCGTTTTGTGCGCGTTTTTTGCTGCGCGTAAAAAATGTGCCACAAGAGCGCGCCAAGCGGCGCTGCTTCAGATTTCAAAACCCAACATAAATCGACACACTAATTTAATAAACAAATTAACAACAATTAGAGTTATGCAAACGCTGGCTTAGCAGGCAGGCAGGCAGGCAGGCATGAAAGTGAAAAGGAGAACGATTGTGGAGAAGTGTTTAAATTTATATATAAATACATACACACACACATATATATATTCATATATATATATGCTATATATACAAAAAATATTTAATGTATGATTTAAAAACCAGAAAGAAAAAATTAAATAACCAAAGACTGCAAACAGATAATTATTAATTATTAGAAATGTTATTTAAAAAATAATTTTTGCTTAATTTAAAAACATAAACAAAAACTGAAGAAAATGAAAAAAAACTACTGAGGATATACAAAAAAAAAAAAAATTAAGAAGAAGAAGAAAAAGAAAAATACGAAATAAATACTTTGAAAATTTTCTAATTTCTGTGAATGGCAAATTTTGTTTTCCTTTTTTTCAATAATTATTCACAATTCAGTTCAAATGTTCAATGTCTAAGTCAAAGTTTTTTTTGTGTTGCATATAAAAAATATATATAATAGCGATTCCAATTAATTTTCCACAAGAAGAACTAAGAATGAATGAAAACAAAAACAAAAGAAAAACAAAAAGAAAATGTGTACGTTGTGAAGTAGACCGAGTGACAATTTTTTATACGAACATTGTTAGAGGGCTTGTATAGTAGTTTGGAGGTAGGGAGAGTTATTGGCCAGTTTATATACATACATATATACACATACATATACTACCTATATACACCTCGTAAGTATTGAGCGTTGTTGAAAGGGGAAAACTTTTAGAGAAATATTTGCGCGAAATTAGTAAAAATTATATACAATTATTATTATATATATATATTCAGCAAAACAGTCCATTTTCGATGTTGTAGAGACACATGCACACACACACACTAATATGTGAATATATAATAATATATATATATACATACTATATATGTATACTATTATGCATATTATATGTGGCAAGCAAACGTAACGTAGTGACGAATTTAAAATAAAAAAAAAATAAAAAAGCATAACTATTATACTACCATATAGACCAGTCTAAATGTGCTTATATGTATGTACATACATGCTCCAAGTCTACTTTACTACAACAACAACAACAACTACATTTTGAAACAAAAGTAAAACAAACCCAAGAAACTGATAACATTTTTAACAAAGATATGAGAAAAACAAATGAATTTCTTATGAATGTATTTTTTATGAAAAACGTTCTGTTTTTTTTATACATATGTATAAACCAAATGAGAATTGTATATACCACTTTGCTATATATATTTAAAGTAAAATAATTATTATTATCAAAAGAAAAAAGAAAAGAAAAACAGCAAGCAAAACAATTTCCAAAACGTAGCAAAAGCGAACTAAGCAAAATATTCAAAAGCCGGATTAACTCTAAACTATATGGGAAAGAAAAACACAAAGAAAAACTTAAGTTGTAAAAAGTCAAACTACATACATACATACATACAAACCATACATATATATGTATATATAAATATATATATATATATATAAAGCATAAAAAACGAAAAAAACAAATATTAGTGAAATGAAAATTAATGGCAAACAGCAAGGAAAGGTAGCAAGCAGCAAGAAATGCTGAAAAGTAAAGGCTTAACGTTAAATAATAAAAAAAAACTACGAAACTAATTAATGATAATACTAAAACATCTTACTATAAAAAATAATCTGTATGTACATATACTATATGCTTAGTTGTATACAAAACACACACACAAACCTATGCTTAAATCTAACTATTAAAAAAAAACGAAGAAAACCCCTAAAAATCAACTAAAAACAAAAACCTCCTTAAAGTGCGTAAAAAAAATTACAAAAAAAGCAGAAGCAAGAAATCGATTAATATTTAAGCATTATACATACAAGCTATTTATTTTATTTGTACATTTTATTATATAATAAAATATTAAAAAATGAAAAACTGAAGAGAATGCTGATAAGATGTGGAGATGATGAAGAGAAGAAGGCGATGAGCGACAGAACTGCAGTTGATTGAATTGATGTGTGCAGCGCAGAAGAACTTTATGTAATATTTTTAGAATGTATGTTCCGTTAAAAACTACAAAATAAAAAAACATATAATACTAAAAAAAAAAAACACCAATAACTGCTTTTATTTCACTGCACTCTTCATATGAAATGTTGAATGAGCCAGCAACAGAACTATGACGATCACGATCCAAACGTTGCAACCACACGAGCAGTGTGTTGCTGCTGTATGGGTGTGTGTGTGTGTGCTGATGTGCCAAATGGCTATAGCAAAATAAACTAAAGCAGCTGTTTCCGGTATTTGATTGATAGTGAACTGGCAGTTTGTTTATCTCGCGCACACGGTTCGCTGTGGCTCTGTTCAGCTCTACTCTGGCCAGTCCCAGTACCAGTCCCAGTCTCTGGGGCCAAATGGGGGCCACGCAGAACGAGAAAAACGTAGCTAATACCGCGGATGACGATGCTGACGTTGCTGCACACGCATGCGTTTCACACAAACACACACACACACACACTCAGACACTTAAGCTGTGGCCGTACAGTACAGTACAGATATGTTACAACGCTCACAAAATATTCTTCAGTTGTTCAGTTCTACAAAAAAATTGGTATGAGATTGCTTTTTAATATGACGCACTCTATTTGTTCTAACATTCGAAATGTTTCTTTTATCGCCTTTAAAGTACTTCTATAATTCCCTCTGAATGCAACGCTTTTTCCAATCTTCCAAAAATCCACTCCTCGAATGACCTTCGGTAGATTCTTTTTTCATTCTTATTCTTTAACATTTTACGTAATTCATTCAACTTAAATTAAAAGCAACACTCGCTCGATTTTAGGACCATATTTGCCCAAAACTGTAGAAGTCTTCTTTAGCCTCTCGGGCGTTTCCTTCGAACGTCCACAAATCTACGTCTGCGGTCGAGTCCCTGTTTCTTTTAGCAAAGTAAAATGTAGGCTTTAAAGAAGAACGACATTTTCAACGGCATTAAGCGCTTATTCGGTTAGACCGGTCCATAGTCTTACAGACATCCTCATCTTGAGACTACATGTATTTGATTTTGAATGCATCCAAGTAATATCCAAAGAAATGTTAAATATTATGACGTTAAAGCCGTGCTAGGCCAGTGCTTCAATGCGCTGTAACCGTCGTTTTCCTCGATACAGTCTTGCAATTAAAAAACGCCCTGTTGCACGAAAAAAACATAACAATTCCAAATGTTGCTTAAGATATCTTCATAAACAAATGCATATGGATAAGACAAGTCTACATACATATATAACAAGTTTGGTGCTCCTAGCAGTTATGGTTGGAAAGAATTCAGTGTTCATACAGACGGACATGTCTATATTGATTCGATTCGTGAGGTTGATCATATACCAAGGGGTCTGCCAGGCTTACCTCTGCCCTCTGTTGTATGCATCTTACGAATAGACTTTCTATTATCCCTTTTCATCCTTCCAATATATGGGCATTGACAATAATTTTATGAGAATCTTATTTAGCATTAGTGGAGCTTGTAGAGATGTTTTAGAATTGATTGGCTTATTATACTACATTATGCACGAAGCTAATGCTGTTATTATTTACATTTGTTGTTCGCAATAACGAAAGTGCTCTGTAATTTGTATTTCTGTGCGTAGCATGTAGAATGTCTATCCAGCGGCCGCCTGGCGGCTACGAATGCTGCATTTTGCGGATGCTATTTGGGGCCGACAACCACAACAACACCACCACCACCAGCAGCACCACCACTGCCACCAGCACCGCGCCGTCATTGCCGGCATGCGCACTTATTTTTAAATTACTGAAAATGTTGCTGCCACTGCTGCTGCTGCACACATTGCGGGCGGCAGCATGAAAATTACAACGGAAGGCGCGCATCAAATGTTGCAAGCGCGCACTCAATTTAAATTTAACTGCAAAATATTTCACTTGCACTGGAAGGCGGCGGCGAGCTGACAACTGTGCTGGGGAGGTTGCTGGTGCGGCTGAGGGTTAAGGGTTGGGGGCAGGACGTCGATTATTTGGGTTAGACGCTTAACGACGACTGCAGAGTGTTTGAACGGCATAGGGAAATACAGACATACGTACATACATGCATGCACATACATGTATCTACATTTGCGGCTGTTGGGTAGCACTGTGCGAAGCTGAAGCGAAGCTAAGCTGGCCAGTGTTGGTAAATGTTGTGGCGCGTGCGAATAATTGTGTCAGCTGCGAGTATTTTCCGTTTGTTATTAATTAATGCAGTCAGTCGCGTTCGCCTCGCCTCGCCTCGTTTCGTTTTATTTTATTTTGCATAATTGCTCACATCCAACAGCAACAAGAAGCAACAACAAACACACACACACACACACATACATACATATGTATGTATGTACATACGAGTACTCGTATAAGCCGCCGTAGCAATCAATGAGCTGCGGACAACCCCAAAACGGCAGCGCTAAATGAGCCGGGGGCATTATTCAATCATGAAACGCTAACGCAGCAAACAACAAACGCAAATTACAAATACAATGTGTGTACATACATACACACATACATATGTATGGATGTATGCATATGTGTGTTTGCATGTTTGTCATAGACTGCCGCTCCATGTGATAACCTTATTTATTTTATTTGAATTTTTTTTTTGTTTTTTTGCTCGGGTCACCTTTGCATGCAAAAAATAAACAAATACAATAAAAATTTTATACAAGTACATACCGATCGGCTCCACACTCTATTGCCACAATTGTTCAGCTGTAATCAGCACTACTATGTACTAAGTACTCGTATATTGGCACGATGCACGATAAGCCAAGCCTTGCACGAGACCTGCCAATTCGTCTGAAACCATCCAGCCAGCCAGCGAGAAGATGAAGAGCAGACGTCGTTGTCGTTGCTGATCATCTCAACTGGTCATCGTGTTGGTCTGGTGCCGACTGATGCCGCTGATTGACACACTTTGCGACTCGCCTTTTCCTATTCTACATACTACTACTTACGAGTACATACATACAAGTATACTATATTGATGAATGGGGAGTCTGAATGACTGACTGACTGCAGCTGGAACTGTTTGCATTTGCTTGCTGGGATCCCAGCTTGAGATTGAAGTGCTTGCTATTTACAGTATCTTGCCAGCATCCCATAACTGTTCTCTCCACACGTGTGTGCATGTATGTACATCGTGGATTCGTATATAGACTGCACTGACAGGCTCTAATGAATGAAGTTGATAAGCCGGCCGAATGTTACATACTACTTGTATAGCAAAAAGAGATCTGTAGTTGCAAAACGCTACGATTTATTTGAACGACGAGCAGTTGCTAAGCGCCGAATGAGGAAAATTTTCAACTGGACTGAGTTATTGAACTTTGCCAAGATATGAAAATGCTTTCCAAATTAGAGAATTTTATTGAAGCTTGGTATTGCTTTTTCAGAATATAGTGTGGAGCGTACTATTGAAGATTAACCTGAAGGGTGACGAGACGAGTTGATATAATCCGTCTGCATGTCCGTCCGTATGAACACAGAAAACTGTTGCACCAAAACTGGTATGTACACTTGTCTCATGCATTTGCCGAGCAAGCGTATATATATAGTCTCGTTATGATATAGAATATCGGTACAAAATCACTCTTTTTGAAAATATCTAATATCCTGATGTCTCATTAAAATCTGTTCATTACATCATATGGTCGCCAAAGAAATAATCAACAACTCTCTTATGAAATGCGATTTAATGTGATAGTTACTACTTTAATATAATATGTGTTTTATCAAAATCGTTTCACTATATAGTTTAATAGCTAAAATGATTGGTACAATAATGGCTATTTTAGTTGCAAGACTATAGCGGGGAAAATGGTATTCAAGCGTCGGGCTGTTACGACTTTTTTCAAATGTCTGTTTTTTTAAATGTCAAAGGAACTTCGTTGAGTTTGGTTTAGCAAATTGATCAAAATCGGTGCACTATATAAGTGAGATCCGTTGACGGACTAAATCTTTATCCTATACGTATTTCATATAAAGGAACTATTAGCTTATTTGTAGTCTTAAAAGCGCCCTAAACACAAACTAATAACTATATTTCGCATTTTGTTTTTTTTTTTCAGGTAAGCTCAAGAACTTTTTTCTTACTGACAAAGCAGGTAATATAAAAATCAAATAATTCCAGCCAACAAATCTGGTTATGACACTCTGAAGATTCATAAAAGTCGGTCCATTATATCATATAGCATAGCTGCCATAGAAATGATTCTTGCAAATATAAATATTAGTCGTAAGCCATATGTCTTTAAGATTTTGTACCGGATTATAAAAAAATTCGAATTGAATTTCTAATAACTAGAATCCAGTATCAATGGATGGTTTATTTGGCACTGCACCGATCGGACAATATTTTTGATCAATTAGCAATATTAAATTATAAGTATTGACGCTAAATGGCATATAGCTGCGCAAAATATTTATTTATTTTCTACATTTATAGCTGAAATTAATTAACATTGTTCCCTTATAAGATAAGTATAATCGGAAGGTTGGCTTTTTCCAACAAAATCACATGCTTTTTTAATACCCTGTACTCAAAGGCTAAAAGAATATGCATATTTGTTTATTGCGAATGTATGAAACAAATAGAAGGAGATAAATGCCAAATCCGGAAAGGTCTCGGAAGATATAAAAGCTAGAATAACCAAACATTATATTCATATCTATCTTCTTTCGAGAGAGAACAAGAACATATCTGCAGAAATTGGAATAATTTAAAGAACTGTTCCAGCCTTTGAGTTTTAAGTTATCTTTCCTCGCCCAGCTCTGGCTTAAAGTCTCTTACTGGTTGAACTTTAGAGAAGTTCCTAGCAGTTCTTTCTCTTCAGTCTCTCGTGACGATTTCTAACTGCATTCGGATGGGTGTGTCCGCATAAAATTACCTTTGCTCCCCCCATCCCGTTGGCCCAGCCATCTTGTCACGATGACTGGCTGAAGGTGAATCGCCTTACACACATACATACAAACATACAGAATACATACGTACATATAGTACAGATTTACGTGCCGCGCACATTAATTGCCCTTTTGGCGAGACCCTCTAATGAGCAAGGAAGCGCTGATAAGAGAGACACATGCGGCTGCTGTTATCAGTGCTGCGGCTATAAATGTCAAATTACATTCACACACACACACACACACACATATGTATGTATATATGTACAAACATAATGTAGATAATCTATTAAAAACGCAGCCATAAATGATTTTTGCGCATGCACAAATTATTAATAACAAAATCTGAATATTAAATGAAAATAGCGTATACTATGTATATAGTAAGTACTTAGTATTGTTTGCTCTGCAGACAAGCTGGAAGCTTTTCGAATGACAGATCAATGAAATCATTGAAAGACCCCCTATAAAAAAATAAATAAATAAATAAAATCAAATAAAATGTAAATACGTGCTTATGAGCTAAATCGCACGCTCCTCGGGGTCAGACCTCTGGTGAGCATCAAGTTCCGAATTCCAATTTCGTGTGAAGAATTGGCCAGCAAGTTGTGGCCATAACTTTACAGTTGAATAGTACAAAAGGCCAAACTTACCTAAGATACTTAGTACATACTAAAATACCCTTTCACCCTTTGGGTACAGGCTATAAGACCCGAATAATTAAGGCTCCAAGAAGAATCGAAAAAAGACTGAGTATGCAGTAGTTTTTGTAGTTTTTCAAATATTTTGAAAACCAAGTTTGAAGTTGATGGGTGGAAAAATGCCCCAAAAAACCCTATGCCCTAAATTTTAAGAAACATTTCAATTTCTTGGAATCCTGTTTTCCCCTCATTTGCGTTCGTAGACTATATTAAGGATATTTGGGCCCAAATTGCAACTTCCTAGCCTTTACTGTGAGGGCTGTCTGTTGACCAGTGAGTCAAATTTTTTTTTAGACATACTCATATATACATAGATAATATATATATAATATATAGTTCGTTAATGACGGCTGGTGTGTCTATTGATTTGTTTGATTGATTGCTCAGTAAATAATTGCAATATTAGTACAGATAATTCGATAATGTTTATCAGTCAAAAAAAAAAAATTAAAATGCACATAATTCCTCTTAGATGAGCGACATGCACGGCTTCTTATTTCAAATTGAATTATTCATGAAAATTTGTAATGGGTTTAGCTTACTTATTAATACATTATATACATATACTTATTATCGTACCATAGATATAGACAGGTATGCTAAGTTGTAGGTGATAAGCTAAAAATAGTACAGATATTTAATTGAAAAACATTTGTTCCCCTTAAATAATTATAATATGTTGGTGTTGGTCCGTTTTTAAATTCCATTTCGGGACCGTGTCCGGCCCATGCCCATCTCTACTCGGGGTACAGTTCAGTTTGCATTCAAAAATACGTCAACCGCAGGGGCTGGGGCCATTTCACATGCAAAGCGCATGCGCGGCAACTACAACAATCACAACAGCAACAACAACAACACTAGAGTGTCGGCATTTAATAAACAGGTCCTCGGTCCTCTCATCATCCTGCGCCTTGCAGCGGAAGTCGCTTGTGGTTTTGTATGCAGCTCGTCGATTCTCCTTATCGCGCCACTTGCTCTTTGATGTTCGCCTTGGCCAGTGGCAGCTTGAATGTGTGGCAGCAACTGAAGAGCTGGGGCCGGCGGCATATAAAAAAATTTATGAACGTGCAACAGGTGCAAATGCAAACGCACAAAAATCTCAACAAATACGCATATCCGCTCTGGGGCGTGTTTGCGCGAGCTGGAACGGAAGCACCTGGAACCTCTGACTGATTGTCTGTGACTGATCCCTACACTCAGAAAAAAATGTTTCAGAAACCATTAAAGTTCTTTAAAAATGAAGGTTTTTGGTTTAAATTATTTTTATTTTAGAAATTTATTGTTGACTTAACAATTGTGTTATGTTACAGAGATGTTGGGATATACTCGTGTGTTTAAAATTCTATAAACGAGTCTGAGAGAATGTTTTTCATATTTAAGTTAAAGATATTCTTCACAGATGATACTAAGATATGGCTTTAAAAAACAAATCGATGAATACGTTTTTTATTGACCACCCTTCCAAAAGATAAGGTACATATTTTTATTTTTATTTTATTTAATAAATCAAGAATTTGTGCTGTACAATACAGAGGTTTCATATCACTTTATAATAATATATGTTACAACAAAGATATAGAAAAATATTACATTTTAAATCCAACTTAAAAGATAAGACAACAATAACTGTACAATAATGTCTATTAATGCCTCCGCCCTGTGTGGCCAGAGACATTATAGGCCTAACACTCTACAATAACATAGTACCTAGAGAAGAGAACTTACTTCTACTTAAGAGCTAATTAGATAAGGTAAGGAGCAGAAAGAGAAAAAGGAAAATTTACAACCCCGATTGCCAGTCCCTGACTTACAGCAGTAAGTGGTAGTAAGAGGGCAGCTTTTATAGAATTCGGAGAGAAAGAGAGAGAGACAGTTCTGTGGAAAGTAAACGTGAAAGATCATTATAATTAGAGCAAATAGAAACCTAACATTGACTTTTCTTCTTTAATTTCCTGTCAAAGGAGTTCCTTTAACCAAGCTATCGCAATTCCTAACAATTCCAAGCAACAAATACGCATTAGATCTACTGAGTTGTAGAACTGTGCCGGAAATTAGATCATTAATATGTTTACAGTGTATGGGCGATAGGTATGTGAATTTTATGGCAGGGACCTGCAGCGGAAGCGCCGCCAACATAGGCCCTCCTTCCTATAGGAAATCGCACGTGATTGCGCATAAAAAT